AGTTGTGGTAGTGCAGCTGCTCTGTATTACCTCACAGCAAAACAATCTTTGACCAACACCCAGACATGATGTTCACTGTAATGAATTATCTAACCCGCCTTGTTTCAAAGCCCTTGATTTTTTAACTCTGTAAATTTTAATAGAAACCAATTAGCTACTGGTATTAACATGGTCCTACTATTTTCAGAAATAAATCTATAACATTGTTTCACTTAACAGAAGAGACCAAAGTTCATAGGTTAAGTATAGCAGCATAGGGAACACTATAAAAAGAGTAAGATTTTTATTTTTAATTCACACTATAAAGCTGAAGCTGAATCTGTCCAGACGTTCAATGCCAGCTTTCCCTAAATGACAGATTTTGATCATTGGAACATTTTAGATTTAAAAAAAAAGTGGTGAGGTTTAATATCAAGGAATAAATGTAACATAGATTAGGAAATAAAAACAACAGGGGATTCAGCACATTGCCTGAAGCAGTTTTCCCACCATGACCCAGATGTTAAATTCCATGACTTTTTCTCCAATTTTCCATTACTGGGTATAGCTGTTTCTGTGACCTTAAAAATTGTATTTTGTTCTTGTTTATCAATGTTGTCTGCCTTCCACTACCCTTGGCCTGAAAATTATCAACTCGAACAAATGTGTGGAAAACCCTGTTAGTTATGATCCATCTATATTCCCATATCTCCTAACGTAAGAATTACCAAACTTAGCATGCCTAAAGCATCTCTCCAAACTCCAAGATATTCCAAAAACTCCAAGGACAGAGGAACAGGTGTGAGGGTTGAACACAGGACTTTTGTTATGACAATAGAGTTACCCAGCAGTACTGTAACTAAAATGCAGTGTTGAGAAAAGTACTTTGAAAGCACAGCTTTGCAAGCTGCCAACTATTTCGTCCTGGAAGAAGTTGAACTACAACAAAGCTACAAAAGGGAGAAATCTAGTTTTGGTTAACTAAAGCTTAGACAAACTCCTTTGTAACAAAGGACGACCAAACAGACAAAGTACATGTGATACCAAATATAACACAAAAGAATAACATGCCAGCATGAGACCTAAACCTGTCCTCAATAAAACAATCCTGCCTGGTCTGAAACAATGGGCCTGTTGTCTTGTCAGTTTTTGTCACACTTTTACAACCTTAGCAACGTTACCTCAATTCAAATCAATCCAGTCAAATACATACATACTTTTTTGAAAGTGAACCAATCTTGCCCACAATTCTTGGAAAGTAATCAACCTTGTAACCCCATTTAAGTATGTAATTGGCAGAGATATAGACATATGGAAATGATCTTGCAGTAGTTGACCCACAAGGTTATGTTGTCATGCCGCAAAACCTCAAACATATTGACATTTTCCAGCCAGAGCAGACCCAAAACACTTTATTTACAGTGGAAAAGTGTCAAAGGGGATAATAAGCAGCAGCCCAGGTCACTTCTAGTCTTTCATCTGTCTCTTTATAAAGACTAAATTAACACTATTTCTCCACAGCTGCATATCATGCTGTTCACAAAAAAGATAGAGATCAATGTTAAGGAAATGTGTTTAATGCAACTAATAGTTACTGTGCATGTAGATGGGTGAGAAATTAAAGGAAAAACTAACAAAGTGACCAACATAAAGTTTGTAGTAAAGCGACTCTAGGGTCTCGTCAGTGCTCCCCTGTTGGAGGGAGGAATCATCCATCTTCCAAAGCAGACTGACTGATGCTTTTCTTTGTCAGACATGAGAATATACTTAATATCTTTAAATTTGTTAGCTGGACAAAACAGGACATTTCAAAATGGACATTTTTCCCAATGTTTGACATTCTGTGAATAAAAAAATAAATGAAATAAGAAAATAATTGGCACATTAATCAGTGACCCCTGCATTTTCTCTCCACTCATTTATTCAGGATTCTCCTGTAATTTGTCACCCATCTGTGTATAATGTAAAATCATTGCTTTGATAGCATCTTGATTGATTTAAAGGCAAATTACTGGAAAGTGCATATTTCTCTACTGTGAGCTATAAAACAAATTATACCTAATGTGGAAACCAAAAATTGAAAGCATTCATTTAAATGGCCTTTTTATTAAAATAAGCTTTCACAGTGAAAACCTCAAACAACTTAGAATTCTAGAAAATGGTGCTTCTTAAGGTCTGCTGCATTTTAAAGCTCAGGGAAGCTGCAGTACATAATTGACTTTAAATAAGAGATAAGGCTACAAATAAATAAGTGAATGACTCAATGAAATGTTGGCACTTGCTGCAGCTTTGGGAAAAGCAGCAGGTCTGAATGCAGTGGATGGATACTCTGCTATATACTATTATATCGGGGCTATACAAAAATCTGCTTGTTTATCCCTGTGGAGTTGGGATTTGTCATCACACACAGGGAAGTTATAGGCAGTGACACTGGGAACAGCGTGACCCACTTCTCTCTGACCTGAAAACACTCCGCAGGCTGACCCCGAGTCTAATGCCAACACAAGTCGCATCAAGCGAGAAAAAGGCGACAGTGAATCAAAATCTAGGCTAATCATGAATTATTAAAGGCCAAAATGAAAAGAGGTCAGCAGCAGCTGACACACTCTGCAGCATGTCATGTTCAGAGTGCAAAAGGCTGGGACACCCATGGCTGAAGAAAAGACAAATCAAGAGGAAAAAACTGGTTAATGGCCTTTCATTCTTTATCTGCTTATCTATACATTTCAGCCAAACACAACCCTTAGGCCAACAGTCACCAAATCCACTTAAAAGAAAAAGAAACAAAGGAATTCTGAAGCAGCATCAAGTGTTTGACTCCTTTGCTCTGTAGCTCTGGAGGAAAATGAAAACCTGGTGATCTTGAATGACTTTTGGACACAGGCACATAAAGTAAGCCCAGTTATGTGAGGACAAAGGAAAGGCATGTGCTGGGCTCCAGCCAAGTAGTTCCATATGGCTGTTGAGTTCACTGGGTCCAGGTGGCACGTGGGAGCGTACATTACATGGAGGTCTGTTATGGATCTACTGCCCCCTCATGGCCTGGTGCATGTAATGCTGCAGGAGGCCTGGATGGATGTTCTTGGATAAGGTCGGTTTCATAACCAGTGAGACATTTAATCACCAAATCATTTTTGAATTCTTTTACCTAAACAACATCATCCACACTGATCTAGTTGGGCCAGTTATCAAGTTAGACATGGAACGCAAAAACTTTAGCATATATATATAGACTTTAACCTAGTTTTGAATGCCTGCTGTGTACATTTACAAAAAGATAATGGTTAGAGAGTATTGGACTGAAATGGAAATAGCACATACAGTGAAACCAGTCACGGGCAAAGTTGAGGAGAGAAAGTCCTGTCCCCAGCTGGTAATGATTAACCACGAAACAGAAGGAGTCACCAAACAGCCCTGACGGTCCACTCTTCCATCATTGGCTAGCTGTGTAGTGGAGGGGGCAGGGGTCAGGGATCAACAGAGTGAGGTCAGCACAGAGGTGACCGGAGGAGGGGCCATGGAGGAAATCGTGTCCCAATACAGGTAGCAAAACAGATTTTAATATTAACAATAGGATTTTAATTTTGCTCTAAAAGACTTTATTTACAATTTGATTTTTTTTAGGACAGATGCAAAGGCAAGCCTGCACAATTAAGGATGAGCTTTTAAAAAGATAAATAATTGATCCAAATGGATGACTCATGCATGTCAATACCACCCCAAAGAGTGCCCAGAACGCTGCACTCTCATAGGTTTATAACCAAGTGAACCACAAATCAATCCCCAGTGAGTTCATGGAGATGGCACTGCAAGGTGCAAGATTCTGACAAAAAATCTAAACATTTCATTTGAAATATCTGAGCTGACATTTGGACTTCACCTACAAGCCTAGTGTCGAAAACAGCTGTTGCTAACTCAGCTATTTGGCCTCTGACCTGAGGTTTTTTGGTCACTGAATAGGGCTCTCTCAATTCCCACCCCTGTCAGAGCATTTGCAAGCCTGAGGAGCCCTTCCTCAGCCCCCTTGACCCCAGCATCACCCTTGCCCAGTGAGTACACCACAGCATTCTGGGAGAAAAATAGGGTCGAGAGAGAGAGAGTGTGGCCACGGCCACGAACCCACCTCGTCAATTTTACAACCCAATCAGGATCAGCCTCATAAATCCACGCCTCCTCCTGCACCACACAATAATGCCAGCCATTCACTGTTTCCACAGGTTTAAGAGTTCCTCTCGAGCTTCGTTCTACTTCTTAGCGACCACCCTCCCTCCTTTCTCCTGTCGCAGGTTTACAGAGGGAGCGATGAGAAAGCCCAGGCCGGAGGAGAACTGCACACTATCAGGTCAGAGCAGAGTCACGGCGAGGTCAGCGGTTTCTGAACTGTGTCCAACCTCTGACCTCTTCGCGGTGCCACCTGGTGCTGTTATAGCAGCCAGAGGAGGCCTGAGTGAACTTCGCCTGAACCTGGACCTTAACATTGGACCATTGCCTCACCCCTGGCCCCTTTGCTCCCAGCTTCCCCTGGGCCAGAGGTGACACATCTATGCCAGTTTTACATCTCACATGTTAGGTATCTGTGTGTCATCCACTGTGCGGAGACACTTACAATGATGGCACGACAATTCGGTATTTACAACCAACATGTATCTGCACAGACTGGTTTTTTAACTAGAGCAAAAAAAAATATTTCTTCCAGTCATAGCTGTAACATTTCACTTTCACCTGCTTCTGAAATTTCACACCATCTCACCCAGTTGCAAGCTGAATATGCTGGGGGCCAGTGCTTACGAAAGAAGCTGCTCCATTATTACTGAGCGTATCCTTCCCTCTTGTGGATTTGACTGGAAATTACAAGTCATTCAAAATATTACCACCCCCTACTTAACCACTAGATGGAGATCTTTATTTTGTGATTTTATTCAGTGTCATGAACTAAATATGACCCAAAGGAACATCAACAAAAGATGTTTGTGTTTCGTGAGTCCTGTACATTCTGACAAAATAATTGTTTGTGAACTCACCCATGCGGTCGTTCTGTTCAGACTCCAATGGATGATCGTTGTACAAGCCTGAGGCAAAAAATGCACACAGAGTAGGGTCATCTATTATATGTTGGTCACAAACAGAGAGAGAGGTTAATACCTTGATACAATTATGATTTACTGGACAGTTTCCAATTGCTCCACAACACCCTGTATATTAGATAAGCACAGAGCGGCACTGCAACCAAAAAGAATTGGATTTCCTTTTATTTAAAAGGCTAAATGTACATGCTTGTGTTATAGCAAGATTGTCAGGGAACAATGCAGCAGCATGATTACACCAGAGGGGGAATAGAGGAAAATGTATTACCCCACCACTTACACTAAAACACAAAAGGTGCAAGTGACAAAACATTTACCCACATCTACTTTTTTTAAGTAAAAAAAGACTGACTATCTTGTTTAAGCTTCTTAAACCAAACATGATATTTGATGTCACCTTGAGCCCCAATTGTGAGGGGCCTTTTCAACCATTTTCTGTTATCAAGGAGATAATTGATTGTGAAAAAGAAAAGCTGCAGCCCTACATCTGATACCTGCCAGGCTTTGTGCAGACAACCTATGAACAAAAACATCTGTCAGAAGCCTTAGCTTTAATCAAGCCACTTATTGTACATTTTTTCAACTCTTGGGGATCTTTGAGTGTGAAACACCCCACCACCACTGGTAACCTACAGTCATTACAAAGAAATCTAACATGTCAGTGCTGGTGGTTCATACATGAATTTACTCTCCTTCTGACCAAAGTAGAAACAGAAACTGATAGGAAAAAAACCAGATAATTTGCCTGCTAACTCTAATATACCAGACAGAAGCTGACTTACTAAGAAGCACATTAATGCTTCATGTGCTATAGTTTTGTTTGTTTTTTACCATTTTAAATATTTCATATGATACTTGTCTGTTATGGCCTCAGGAGTGAATGTAATTTATCTCCCTTGTTAAACACATGGAGCAAAGCAGAGAACTCCCACTGAGAGCAACACATCACATCTGTTATCTGGAGACAAATGATCGCCCTGTCAGCCTGAGAGAGCAGCAGCTACCACTGATTAGACACTTCAGTCAATATTCAAACTTGGTATCAGCGGTGATATAAGGTTAAACCTGTGCTTAGAGCTGTGTTAATGTTGCCCGTTAATGACTCAGACAAAGAGATGGGAAACCAAAGACAGAGGGCAGGTTGTGTAAAGTATGAAGCACACTGAGAGGTTTACACAGGGTTTATCTATAGACATAGTGCACCTCCACCACAGGTAGCACAAATATAATGGGGGTTAAGGTGCTCCTTCAACTTCAAGTAGTCCAGACAGCAATTTAAAATTTTAAGCCAAATTTTATTCCCCTGACGGTGTGGCTTTTGGAAACTTCCATCTTTCCTCTAACTTTTCATGTCTGTCAAAAGATAAAAAAATGAAAAAACAAATGCCAATGTAGTACAGTGGCAAGAAAAAGTCATTACTTGGTCTTAAAAGTCAAAACATAATGTGCTTATGCTGAAAACATACAAACATTTCTAATCTTCCATGACTGTGTCACCTCTCAGTAACCCACTTTAATACCTAATAAAGGTAAAAAAAAAAAAAAAAAAATGAAGTAAAAATGTGTCTATGGACCAGCCCTGCACAATGTTGAGGTCTAAATAGACCAGTCTTCCTCACTCCTATAGGATGTCTAGTGTGAGTGGCTCTCAGGGCTCATTCCACTCTACCACGCCATAAGGCAGATTTAGCTGCATCACCTGACTCCTACTGAGCATCAGCTGGTGGACAGCCACCCCCGGAGCCTTCATTTGGCCAGCACTTCAAATAATCTGTAAGATACCTGGATAAACTTGGAAATTCATTTTCCCTTCGATGATACAGCTGTCCAGGACCAGATGCAGCAAACCAACTCTAAAATCACAATACTCCCTCCACTGTAATTTGCTGTTAGGAGGATGTGTTCATCTCAGTATACAGTGCCTTTTCCACACCATATCTAGTGCTGTGAGTTCTTCTCAAACAAGTCAGGCTTCATCACTCCACAAAACATTTTGTGTAGTGGAGTCACAATGTTCCTTGGCAACCTACAAGCACAGTGATGTTATTAACTATAGAGCCCGCTGCCGCTTCTTGGTAAGAGGACAACATGCACTATGATTTGTGTATGATAGACTAATGAACAAATAACTTAACCAGCTCCAAGGATTCATTTCAGTTTTACCTGTAACTGTTACTCTGGGCTTGTGTTTTTACCTCACTGATCAGTCTGTGTTGTGTCTTCTAGGGAGAGTAGCCACAGAACTAACTCATCTTTATTTATAGACAGTTTGTCAGACTGTGGACTGAGATTCTCAAATCCTTGGGATGACTTTATAACCTCTGAGTGTGAAACACCCCGCAGTATCATCACAACCAGAACTAGACTTTACAACAGCTTTGTCCCTGCTGCAGTAAGACTGATGGCAAATACAAAAATGTGAGAATATATGTGCAATAACTCCTTACTAGACATGCGCTATAATAATACAAAAATGTTCCACAAGGTATTTTTGTAAGAGCATCTCATCAACAGTGTTCTCTTGGGGGACCTGAATAATAGCAGGACATTCTCTACCAAACAATGGAAACAGGCCTGAATATAAACTGTGTTTTAGTATGTTATAATCCATCACTACCTCACCAAGCGTAATGACATATCCAACTCCACCATGTGAATTACTAAGTGTGATGTTTGAAGTTCACTGAGAAAATACTATTACCCTATTTTTGTGTATTGCAGTTTTAATACTTTGTTGCCTTTATGTAACATTTTATTTTAAGACTAAGTGTTCTTTCTGGCTTTTGACTCCTTACCCGACTCCAAAGGAGAGCTGCACAAGAATTCCTATATGCCTAGACTGTCTGTTTATGCATAAATGGCAAATAAAAATCTTGACTTGACTTGACTTTTCCAGCTTCAGCAAATGAACAGCTGATAACATGTTCTAACCCACACCTCTAGTCTGGTTTGTAATCCAGGTTGGCTTACTCCTGCCTAGTTTGTATTGATGTCACTGACCTAGGGGTCCACATACAATGCACTGATTTTTGTGTATTAGTTAAGATTGTGTTTGTTCATTACTGTAACTTAGATGAAGATCTGACCAAAACTTCGACATGTCTATGATCCAGTTTTTAGATTTTACATATTATAAACAAGGTAAGATGTAAATCAGCATTAATTGCTGGCTGGCGTAATTAACAAACGAGGTGGAGGTTTCCTCCCATTTATGTGCTAGCTAGGCTAACCCCATTCACAGTAAAGACACCAGTCTTTAGTACTGTCTGAAAGACTGGAGTATTCTTTTGGCCAGCACTTCAAATACTCTACGTATACATCTTCCTGTGAAGTAAACCTTTGTGGCTGTACAAATAATAATACTGGTTGTTCAATTTATGACCCAAGACCTGAGTCAAGTTGGGTCCAAATTGTGGTCAGTCCAAACTAAATTTCATTGAACTGAACCTAAAACTTTCTTAGGAGGATCTTTGGAATTAGATTCATAGATATTCAACAGGTTAAAACATTGGCTTACTACACAGGAGGACACTGAATGTGGAAATATAGTTTATACATTTGTCTTTGAACCATAAAAATACATTTTAGTTTAAGACTTTACATTAGTTCTTATGACATTATGATGATTATGGATATAATAGGTAATACTAATTATTACTGACATAATCATATGAATTATTACCACTGTGGCTGATTGCCAACTGATCTAATTAAGTGCCTGGCACTGCCAGTCACTTAATTTGGTTGGGTTGGTGTACTCTCGATTTTTGGGTCTTTTCGGTTTGACCACATTTTGAATTGAGACTAATTAACCTCCGGTCTGGCTATGCTCAAGTCTCCCCTTGCATCGGATCTCTCCTTCTTGTTCTTCTTATTCAGGTCTGGGTAGGGTAATATTTTGTTGATATTAAGTATCTGATTTTTCTGCTGTTCACATGAACACGGTTCTTTTAAAATATGATAATCCTTCAGTTTTTTTTTGTTTTTTTTTTTTGCCTAAACCTAACTAAATCTGACACACAGAGGGCCAAAGCTGATTTTTTAATACAGGGCCTGACATATCATCGGACTACCACACAGGCCTATCCATCACCCCAGAACAATCTGCTTCAGATTGGTTACCCTCTTGCTGTTTCAGCTTTATTTTATACCCACTTTTTCCCCATCTTGTCTCCATCAGCAGCTTGGCCATCTGTGCAGCTGTCGTCTGGAGACACGGCGTCCACTTCTCACTTACACGGCGCCCGGCAAACTCCATCACTCACATCCAGACGGTGCACAGTGTGGGCTGTCGGTGCATCAGATCTCCCTGTCTGTGTCCGTGTACCACCCTGCTATCAACAGCTGTAGACCCCTGACCCGACACACGCCAGCTGCCCCCCTCCTCCTACATCCACCCCTGCCCCACAGTCAACACCGGCATATGTTCTCCCTGGAGCATACATCAACACACAAAAGTCTGTTCCAATGCACACGTGCCTTGCCCTGAACAGACGCACAATTATATTGAATAACACACATGCACTCAAGCACTATGTCTGTTAATTTGTAATCTCAAATCACTCATTTCAACTAACTAAGGATTACATAATTCATTTTCTCACTATGCTGCTTTATTGAAACATTATATTGGCAAAATGTCAACGTAAATGACCCTGCCATTGTTTAATGAGTTTAAACTCATTTAGGCAACCTTACATTACTGCCAACTGGTTTTGAAGCATGGTGCGGGTTTTTAATGGGTCAGTTCTAGCTATACTGGGTTTTGGTTTTATTTGACAAAGACTTAAAATATCTGTCTGAGATATTTGCCTCCGCTCAAAAATTACAGCAAATGGAGTTTCATTTGTGCTGTTAATTAATATAAAGAATCTATAGCAACGCTAGATACTCTGCACAACAGGACTTGTGTGCTAAATCTCAACATGTTAACGTGCTCATAACAACAATGCCAGCTGACCTGATGTTCATCATCTCAGTTTAGC